TCTCCTCAGCTTTAGCTAAATCGGAGAAAATCCAGCGAAATTAATGTTTCTTTCAGGCAATAATAAAAATGTTTCAAATGAGCTGAAAGGACCTTTTATTACTGCTGAGATTTTTGCCTGTAACACTGCTGCACTTGTTATGTTACTGACCTTTTTTCAATTCAACTTATTCAACTTATTCATTATACATCTTGTCACTCTCTTATTCTTTGTCTTTTTCATATACACTCCCGATCAATAAATTGAATGCTTAAAAAAATGTTTTCTCTCACTGCCATTTCTTTTTGTTGCATGTTGAAGCTCTACTTGGAACCTTGTTAAGATCCAACCATGCAAAATATGATTTTTTTCTGCCATTTTTCAAGCAATCTTAAACTTTTGTATTCAGCTTTTGTAGCACTTTGGGAAATCTAAGACTGGAAATATAACTGTGTCACAAAAATGAAACCATCCATCAGGACTTTTGTACTAGGGTGTAAACATGCCTTTTAACTCCTGGTCATTTTAACCCCTGATCATTCCAAAAATTTATCAAATCAAAAAAAAAGTTTGCGTTTGACCTCAGAGTCAGCCTCAGGTAGCCAAAGGAGGAACCCGAAGGGAACCAGTATCATGTAGGCTTTAAATAAATTTCTCAGATGGAAATTTAATTAATAAATTGCTTTGCCTTTATCATCAAACTATGTTGATTAAATAATCTAATTAGGCACACAAAATAAACCACCACACTCCACTACCTCGCAGCTTGACGTTTAAAAACATCTGACATCTCTCACAGACTCGCTGTCTCGGCCTCACCGGACGGTCTTCACACGAGCCATCGAGGCCTGCGACCTGCACTGGCAGGACCCCCACCTGCAAAACATCATTACGGAGGACCACTACACCAACTACTGCTACCATGAGAACCTCGACTCGTCCCTCTTTGACACCCGAGGGTGGCCTTTGTGGCATGGTGAGAGAGAAGAGTTGTGGTTAGAGATAACAAGAAATAAATGTAGAAAAAAAAGCAGAAGGAATACAAATGAAATAACTTCTCCTTCCCACAGAGCACGTCCCTACAGCGTGTGCCCGAGTGGATGCCCTGAGATCACACGGATACCCCAAAGAAGCGCTCAGGCTGGCCATCGCCATTGTCAACACACTGCGGCGGCAGCAGCAGAAACAGCTGGAGCTCTTTCGCTCCCACAAAAAAGGTCAGCGTACCCTCTTTTAATGTGCTCTTTAGTTTTGCTTTCCTACTTTTAATCAGTGCCCTCCAAAGTCTGTTTTCATTTTACTGCTGTATTATCTGTATACACAACGTCTGTTCACCCGTGAAGAAGAACACATCCTCGCTTGCTCTTATTTAGGTTTCCCTCTTACAGGAACTTGGCCAGTCAAGCACGTATGCAACAAATGGAAAAATATTATTTTGCATTGAACTAAAGTGCAAATGTTCACGCATCTTTACAAACATCCATCTGTTTGATTGCTCTTGTTTTTGTTTTTTTGTTTGTTTGTTAAGGTTATTGGTGCTATCTGCTTGTATAATTCAAATTTGGGCTTGAACATTCATGGGGAACATTTATTTGGGAGATAGTCATTCTGAGTGAAGAGGGGGGGGGTTCAATTACTGCATTTGTGGAGCCCTGTGGCTCAGTCAAAGTTCTCTATGAAAGACTGGCTAACATAAATAGGGGCTTTTTATTAACTGTAAATCATGCAAAATTATGCCAACAGAGCTGTAGAATAAAAATAGAGACCTAGAAATTTGCATGTGTGGATTAAGTGGAACTGCATCTTGGAGACCTTTACCACAGGTTATTTGTTCTTTGTGCTTTATGGAGTAGATTAAAGTGTCTCTGCGTATCTGTATCTATATATTCCTATCTATGTATTCTTTCAATGACACTGACATCATGGCTCTGTGGGGGTCACACCATCTGTTGCTGGAGACCCTTTTTAGATATGCATACAAGCTGTATTTAGTTGTCTGTGACACTTTCTATCAGTTTAACACCAGAGTGTCAACAGTTCATCAACAGTCATTTACGACCAT